TGTTCTCACTTTCCTGTGTGCAGACTTGACATAGTTTTCAAAGCTCGGTGCATTTATTTCTATTTTTGTTTTTTAATGGCAGCATTATTTATTGTATTTATTTATTTTCCTCCAGTTTATTAAGGTATAATTATGAATATAAATTGCACATATTTACTGTGTCCTCTATAATGCTTTTATATACATACACCTTGTGAAATAATTATCACAAACACATTCATCACTTCACATAGTTAATTTCTGTGTATGTGTGTGCTGAGAACACTTACCATCTATTCTCTTAGCAAATTTCAGGTATATGTGCAGTGTTATTGACTAGATGGGATCATGTAACTTGTACTTGCCCAGTGGAATATGGGCAGAAGTAATGAAGATCACCTCTGGCCTAGTTAATTAGGAACAAAATTTTCTTGTCTCTACCCAAAACTTCTGGGTTCTCATAGCATTGTGCTATATATAGAAAGACTCTGGAAGATGACAGAACTACACATGGCAGAGACTGCGAGTCCTGAGTGACTGGGTGGAATAGAACCCCCTTAGCAATCCAAATTCAATATGAGAGATGTGTAAATTAAAGTTCTTTTTGCCTAAGCTACCAAAGTCTTGGTCTTTTTATTGAATCATTTATCTTACTGTAAGTAATATATAAAACATTATTATATATTATTTTTATTATTTTATCTTTCCCCTAGGGCAATGACTACCTTTAATTGGTACAAGTTCTTAAATAAGTGAGACAAAAAGGCAAGAGAAAATTTAGGTTTAATATTTTTTAAAGAGAATTTAGTATTTCTTAAATAATGTTAGAACAAAATAAAATTTCTTACACTAGTGTGGAACAAATATAAATATATTCAATAATTTATATAGAACAGTGTTCATATAGTAATGATAATATTTTATAGATACACATAACTCTAAATCATGTTTATATTTCCCTCTCAGAAGATTAATGGAGGTTGGGTCCTCCTACCTGCCCTCATGATCACCACCTCATAGATGGAAGAATGGACAATGTCCAACTTGGGGGCCTGAGTGAGGCTGGGGACACATAACCCTGCCCTCAGGAAGCTCCAGGTATAGGACAGAGAAGCTTGTTTGCAGTTCTGCGTGCTGCTGCTTCCGAGGTAGAGAGGGCAGAATGGGGTGGGGAAGGATGAGGCCTCAGCAGTGGTCAGGAGTGATCTGGATCCAGGGCGAATTTCAGAACATTCCCTTGAGGCTCCCAGCATGATTTTGTGAAGGTATAAAGTGCTTAGCATCTTAGAAGACATTAGGCAAACTCCTACTATTTGATAGGTGGCAGGCTGGCCTCTGAGTCTACGGCCCTGAACAAGACAGAGAGGGCTCCTCCCTCATGGTGCTCAGTGTGAAATCAGGTGTGATTCAGTGATGAATCAGGTGTGATGGTGCGGGACACGAAGAGCAGCTGGTGTCAGCAGCAGCCCACCTGGCAACTGTACCTGCAAATGTGTCAAGGACCTGAGAGCCTAATAAGACCCAAAGTCCAGACAGGCCACTGAGTTCTAGGGAAATGTGGGTGCCAGGAGTCGGGAGGGGTGTAGAATATAGAGCATTGTAGAGAAGAGACAGAAGAGAGGGGAGAGAATTAAGTTGAGGATTGGCAAAGAATATGTGAAGAAAATTGGTTGACCTGAACATTCAATAATGACAATTTTTAATTTATATAGAAGTTAAAAATATGGAAGTACAGGGAAGCCCCTGAATCAATTTCTATGACAACCAGAGAGGTATTTTTTTTTTCCAGGAATTATAGAGGTTGTAGTTCTGGTATGACTTAAGAAAGTGAAGGTAAGAAAAACAAAAAGAATGATAAAGAGATACCAACTTATTGGCATAAATTGACATGAACAACCAGGATGTGGACCTGAAGTTTACCAAACTGTGCATAGTTTGGACTTAAAGTTCTTCACCCAGAAATAGTAATAACTCTCAAAATGGCTATCCCAACAGGGGACAATTTTGCCAAGTCACAAAGGAGAAGAGGGGTTGAGGCAAGGCAGGAGCTGAGACAAGAAGGGAACAACTCCTCATTTACCCCTTAGATGGTTTCAGTTGTTAATCAGTGGACAGGATTTGAGGTCCTTGAGCTGTGAATGTGAGTGGAGTATTGGAGCATCCAGCGTTCCTACCAGAAGATCGAGAATTGAGATGGAGCTGTGTGGAGAAAAGAGATACATGGGCTGCACCAACCAAGATGTGGAATACCCACCCTTGGGCCACTGCTATGGGACCAGTTGCAGAGCTTCAGGAATTTTGTATGGAGAGAACATACATTTCCTCTATTCAGCAACATCTTCATTGCTGTATTTTCTAATATCATGAATAAAAGTCTTACGGAAATCAAATAACATTATATAATGCATAAATGGAAAACAAAGCTATGTAAATAATGAACAGTAACATATATACATCCAGAAATAGCCATAGTTACAGTTTGCTTCATTTAATGTCAGGATTTTTTTTCTATAAACCCACACTTATGCATACATTATTAAAAAGATGTCTTTTGCTTGCACTGTTTAGTATCTGCTTCTTTTTTCCTCACCCAAAGACATGCTTATTCAACCCACAACCTGGGGATGTGCCATGGCTGGAGATTGAACCCATGACCTTTTCTTGGATGGGATACTGTTCAACCAATTGAGCCCCTTGGCCAGGGCCAGTACCTGCTTTTGTAATAACATAATCTGAACATTTCCCAATAAGACATCATTTTCCTACCACAATCTTTTTAATGGCTGCAGTATAATCCTAACACATAGACATCTCATCAGTTATTGAACCCATTATCTATTGATACACACTTAAGTGTTATCAACTTTTTGATATTGGATACAATGCTGAAACAAATATCCTCATGTATAAAATATTTGTATACATGCATGAATATTCCCTAAAAATAAATTTCTAGAATAAAATGATAATTCAAGAGTAACGTAGAACTTTAAATCTTTTGGTTCTTTCCTGCCCAGCTCTTCTGCTTCATCTTAATCCATCTTCTTCTTTATCCCTGCTGCCTATCCCCCCGCCTGTAATCCTCTCAATACAAGCTATTGAGTACAGGGGCTCAGGGCATTCCTTACTAGAGGGAATTGCCATCCCCTTTCCCTGACAGACAACTGGTGTCTGGAACCACTCATTTCATCCACGGTGAATTGGAGGACTCTGCCGGATGGAGTCCCCCACAATTCCCTCACTAAGAGTCAGTCTATTTAATTATGAATGGCATGGATATATCTTTAGATACTTCTACAATTGAAACCAGCTGTAATATGAAGACAGTTCAAATGTGCATACTGTACAGACTCTAGACACATCATTCAACTACTCACCACCTTGTAATTACTTGTTGGACAGTTTCTGTCTTAGAGTTTCCAAATATTTCTGAATTTTTGCCAACTCTATTTGGAGTGCTTTTTGCATCACTCAGATGCAAACCTGTCACCTGTCTCAGACCTGTGTAGTGTTATGCCACCAACCTTTTTAAGAAAGGGGGTTCACTTCCCAGGGACCACTAAGTGATACTGATATTTTCTGTTGGCTTCACTGAGTTAGGGACAAGCTCCCTAAAATCCAAGACCCACTCAACAAAAAACTGCAAACCTTCTTGTCATTCTTGAAATCAAAAGCAGGCTTCAGGAGAAAAAGAGGGTCTAGAAATCTGGAGACCTGGGCTCTGATGTCATTCAAAATTAGTTTTTGGTTAATCTTGATTACTCTAGCTCTCCTTTCTGAATATCAATTTTTTAGTTCAGAAATACAGTGACTTTCCTAGGTGCTATTTAACTCTCATTTCACCCCTGGCATTTTGTAGCTCAACGACCGGCTCTCTGCCAGTTCCTGGCTGATTACCTACTTTACTTTGATCATATAATCCTTCTAGAAATCTCTTCTTCAAACTCATCTCCTTTTTGAATCCCTGGATAAGCAGGCTTCTGAGTTTCATTTTGGGAGAGACACTATTTGGACTGTTTGCAAGTTTGTGGGAGGACGCGAATACAGTGTCTCCCAGAGAAGACTCCAGATTCTCCGAGGGGAGGCACCGTGTATTCATTCTCCTCTCCCTCTTCCTGGTAGAGATAGTTTCTGGTCTCCATGTACATGATGGGTGGAGGCAAAAATAACGTTGTCTGAGCTAATGAGAGCAAGGCTTGTGTGGGAAATTAGGAGAGTGTGTGTCTGCTTAAATGAATGTGCTTCATTGTGAGTCTGTATGTGTTAGGTGTCTGGAAGGTGAAATGAGGGAAGAAAACCAGGATAATTAGGTTCAAGCATGTAGCAGTGATGTTTTTGGAGGTACGCGGGACCCTTGCGGACTAGGTCCTTAGGATCAGAGCTGGCTTGGGGCAGGCAGCATGGAACTCAGGCATGACTCAGCTCAGTGCCGGAGGAAAGTCTTGTTTCAGGTGTGGCCGCTCAGAGTGACAAACTCTGAGTTTCATAACACAACAGCCATCGCCAGTCTTCGGATTCTCCATAAATGTAATCATGTGCACGCGCGCGCATGCACACACACACACACACACACACACACACACACACACACTCATGGAAGCACACAGTACCGGGACAAATAAATGATGTCTATAGCAACTCTTCTCTGATTACGGATCCTCCTCATGATAGGATAGGAAGGGGTAGATTTAGCCAATGAAACTAGCAGCCAAGAGTGGGATTAAAGCGATTTAATGAAGGCAGAGCAGGAAACAGGCATTGTTTTCCAGATCAAATTTTCAGATGAGCCTTGAGCAACTTAGGATGAGCAAAGCCACTTAGGCCTTCTGCATAACTCAAAGGCTCAGAGGACTTTTCAGGGCGTTCAACAAAAACCTCAGAGAACACATTTTTAGGATGTAAATAAGAGAGAGATTCTGATGATGGAGAGAACATCCTGATTACAAGATAAGACAGAGAAGCAGAAGGGAAGACGGTGTTCAGCATTCGGTGGCTCTTCAAGGGCATGGCTGTAGACCACATTACTTCTGCTTGGTCTTCTGCTGGGATAGGTCTGGAATGACCACTGGAGGAAGTGGCTCAGGGATCATAGGCCTGTCATGCTGAGGGACCTGAGGGTGGACTGGCTCTGGAACCTTGGTGTGGCCAGGCTGAGGAACCTTGGTGTGGCCAGGCTGTGGATCCTTGGTGCGGCCAGGCTGTGGATCCTTGGTGTGGCCAGGCTGTGGATCCTTGGTGTGGCCCGGCTGAGGAACCTTGGTGTGGCCAGGATCCTTGGTTTGGCATGGTTCCTTAGTTATGGGAACAAATGTTTCTTGAGGTGGGGGCAGCTGGGGCTGTTTCACCTGCTGCTGCTCAAGCTGGGGAGGCAGGGTGTGCTGTTGCTTCTGCTGGTAGGAACTCATGCTTCAAAGGAGACTGGACCTAGAGACAGAACAGTTGACCCAGTAGTTTGGTGAAACGAAGAGGAAAACAAACTTAAAAATAAACTTACCTCATTTCAAGTCCCATACAGATAGGACTGCCTCTCTTCTTTTTCGGTTTCCATGGAATTTAAGATTCATGGAAACTGCTGTGATTCCTGTGCACATTCAAGAAAAGGAGTGAAAGGTCCTCTTTCTGCTCCACGTGAGTGGCGCCCTGATCTATCCTTCTTTTGTTCCTGGTGATTCTGAAAGCCTACATCGGCAACGCAACACAGTGCCGGCTCCCAGATTTTTAATAATTTGGGAAGATGATAAAGTCAAATGTCTCAAGTCTACCCTCTCAAGTCCACCACATGGCTCTCACAGGAAAGCTGTACGTCAATCTGCCCCGAGCCCATGTGCCTACCTCTCATGCTCTGCTCACATCGTCCTCTGTGTGCATGCTTTCCGGAGGGCTGTCCTTCCTGTTGCTCCTCCCACACACGTTCGCCCACTACGGTTCTCCTCCCAGACACTCTCTGCCAGGTCCAAGTCACCCTCCTCCTTGGACACAGCTCAGTACGTGCCTTGTCCTTTCCCTTAATCATTTTCCATGAAGTATGCTTGCAAATTACCCCCACATTTCAAGATCTCTGATGGATGACAGGTTCACAGGGTGAAGAAAACTATCTTTCGGACACACAGTTGCCAGTGCAGGACCTCAGTATTTCAAATTCTCAGTAATGATTAGAAGAAGTAATAGAAGTCCCTAAGTGTACTCTGGACTTTTGTAGTCCCTCTCCTGTAACTGAGCAAATCACGACAGAAATCATCCTCCATAGTTACAATCTGAGTGGTAAGTCAAAAAGATCAGTAATGTCACCTTTAACACAAATCACCATTGCATTTAATGTAAGTATATGAGTAGCATGACAGAGACACTCCAAACAAATAAAATAGAATTAGACAAGAATTAAGAAATGACAAGTAAAGAGGCTCACCTGGTGCAGAGGAAAGTTCAAGGTGTCTGGCCTTCAGGTCTTGTGAGGAGTCCCTGGCAAGCTAGCTTTTTATACGGAATACGGGCCTTGCCTTAAGGAAGCGGGAATCTTTCTGGGCCACTCCATCTTTATTCTAGCTTTTGTAATGAAAATCTCTGGCTTAACATTTTTTGGCACTTACTCTTTGACCAAGATGTCACCTGGGCTTGGCCCCACTGTCCATCCTTTGTGGTTAGTTTTCAATGGACGACAGGATTCCTGGGAGGTGACGAGTCAAATCGGGAGGAAGGTCTGGACTCTGAAACCAGAAACAAGTGTGTTTCCTGGACAGAACCCTAGTCTTTAGCTCAGATTAATTCTATTGAGCATGTTAGTTTCTAAGTGGATGTGGAGATGAATCACAGGCATTACTGGTTCCTCTGGGAGGCCTTGAAGAACAGTAAGTGAATCACCTACCTTCATTTAAGTGACTCTTCAGTAAGTGCCGATAAGTGAACCGTATGATGTTCCATTTTTTACAGATCAGGCCTGGGAGAGGAAAGGGGAGGCTTTAATGCCTGCTTTGGAAATGAATTGTCTTCACTCTGGTGAGAGCCTTAAGGTGCCACGTAGACCAAAGGTAGTGTGGAGATGTCACTGGGGATGAAGAGTCAGGATTCCCTGCGTCCGTTCAGCGTTGTGCAGAGTCCTGAGGACACTGCCTCTCATGGTTTTTTTTTTCCCCCGTACACCAGCCAATTCCTCCTGTCAAGATGAAACAGAGGTCACTAACCCCGAGTTGACTTCAACACACAATCTCTTACCTGGTGTGGTCTTGGGGACATTCAGACATCTTTAAAAGTCAAGTATGTGGATTACTCCCCCTTCCCCACTGCCTTACCTCTGTGTTACCTCCCACAAACCTGAGCCCTCAGGCACAGCCACTGCTGTGAGCTACTTCCATCAGGAGCCGTTATCCTTCTACCTGTCTGGTCGGTGCTCAAGTGAGTGGACGATTGCTCAAAAAGGGAGGCAATTCAGATTGTATCTCGCAGTACGTTTATCGACTCCTATGTCCTCTGAAGCAAAATTCCCCAACCTCTGGGCCATGGACCAGTACTGGTCTGGGCCAGTCTGAAATGGGGCCACACAGTAGGAGGCGAGCTTGAATTTTATGCACTTCAGTCATCCTGAAGCCATCCTCCCCACCCTGGTCTGTTGAAAAATTGTCCTCTACAGAACTGGTCCCTGGTCCCAAAAGGGTTGAGCACTGCTAGCCTAAAACCCTTCTCTGTCTGTGGATAAACATTTTTTAATCCACCATGCTTATTGCTGCCATTGGGTATTAATGAACTGAGTGAAGTTACAACACAAGTTTTGTACCCCAAATGTTGGGACCCTTATACTAGAGTTAGATGAGTGGTAGTCATACCTACTTGTAATTTAGTCTGAGTATGTCATACAGAAGGATACTTCTGCAGCCTCTCTCATTTCAAGGGGAGGTCATTCTCCAGGGTAACTTGAATCCACCATGATATGCCTACTTCTTTAATTCCTTTAAAAACTCAGGGCCTTTTTCTATTCTGCTTAATAGCTTTCCATTCATAACAAGAGGGTGATATTTTTACTACTGCATTTTGTCCATCATAACCAGGGACCTTTCTAAGTCTTAGATCACCAAGGTTTATAATCACATAGTGATCATTCTGCTGGGAGTTGTACACCACATTTTTAGACAGCTCTGCAGAGGGTTGTTTCCAGAAATTCCATCTGAAATAATACCTTTTGTAGTAGATGTGTCCTTAAAAACATAGTTAAGTATACTGATGTATTACTATAGTTCCATTTAGTCATTAACAATTGGTGCAGTTCATCATCATTTTATATGAATAAATGTCTTTTCAGAATGATGCTACTCAGGTTTTTAAAATTAGCCATGGCTAGTGTGGCTCAGTTCATTGAGTGACATAGGACATAGGCATATCATTTGTTAATTTTTGCCCTTAGCCACTATTTTTCCTTCTCTCAATTTGTCAGTGATTTTAACCCCAAATTTTCAACCTTTGGAAGAGTTAAGTTCACCTACTGTGGTAATCTAGATTGCCAAGAGCAATACTGGTCTACCAAGTTCCTTCTCCTCAGTCCATTCCCATTCATACAGACCAAGGTTATATAGGTAGAGAATTAGTGGATTAGTTCAACCACTAGGTAACACAGCCAAACACACTATCAACCCTAATTTTACCAGATGGGGTGAAAGCACAATCCACCCAAGAGAGTGAATCAAATGTCTGTCTTGGGACAAATAGAAGCTGTATATACTCAGGCCAGAAAGATGTTGCTGCTTCCAGCAAAAGGTACAGACCCCGGTGCAACTCTGATTTTGGCTTGGGATAATGTTCCCAATGATGTGCCCCTTGATCCTTAGAACCTATTCATGTAGCTGCAGGTCAGTGTCAAGTAGCATGGCCCAATATCAAATTTTATAAAAGGCTGATGAAATGGCCCAGCAAACGAGGTGGTACACCACAGTCAGCACACTACCAGAAGGTTTGGAAATGTCAGAGGAAAGAAATACAAAGGAGAGAGTATGGACAATGCTGTATCCTTTGGAATGTATATGTATGAAGAATATGGGGCAGAAAGCCTTGACTGAGGGTATGAGACTAGAAGAATCATTTCAAGAAACCAATGCTCCTCTAATGAATATTATTTATGGTGAGAAGTGGGCAGATTAGGAAGGACTTGAGTAGAAGTGTTAATTATATGAGGCTCATGTGTCATATCATCCAGGTGATCCCTGAATTGATCAGTTTGCTTCAGCTTTTATTTCTTCTTATGTGAACAGGGGAATGGGAAGTTCAAAGGTGATATCTGAAAAAGGAAAGGATGACTTTCAGGTGCCATTTTTATAAGTGTTAGTAGCTTCCCAGACCATCAGGCCCAGAACAAAGGTCCTATCCAGGCCCAGGGGAGAGAGAGAAGTAACCAGTTCCCCATGTCTGCCATGGGTTCAAAGAGGAGGAGTGGACAAAGTTAGTGATTTGCGAAGAGTCTGGGGTTCTCTCTTTCCTCTGTAACCACTCTGTAAGTCAGATTTCTGCATAAAAACTTACGTGTAAACAGCCAATTAATAAATTATGTGATCCTTGTGCATACAAGTGTGTGCTAACTTGGATTTTTGTCTTATTATATACTTATATTAGTCTTATTTTACAAAATCTCAGTAAACCTCTTAGCCATCATTCCAACTAACTTTTGTAGAGAAGCAGGGATGGATAAAAGGACAAGCAGAGAGGAGACAGGACAGAATTCTGTCCTCTACTTATCCTCTAGTGCCTGAGGTTTCCTTGGTATTAACCTTCTACAGGTTCATAGAACCATTTATCTCCATTGACACTATTCAAGCTACTCAGTCTGCAGGGACAATTTCCCCAGAGTAAAGTGTATTAAGGAATGCCTCTTTGAGTGCTCAGAAATTACTGTAACCCTCAGGTCTTCCTGTTTTTGAGATATCTTGTCCTATAGGGGAAAGATTATCACTTAAGTGTGTATTAAAGTCATTTATAAGCATCTTTTGTGGATATTAAAATGACTTCTTTAAAGGACATGCTTTATTAGCAGACATCATTTCTCATACAGAGTTTTGTTAATTGATAAATATTGACATACTTTTTATTATACAATTATTTTAATATATATCAAACTAATGTAAAATTATGTCAAAGATATCATTTCGTAGAGTTTTTTACCTAAGGCTAATCAATTTTTTAGTAAGTTGTTATAAAACAACATAGGAAAACTTCAATAAAAATTTCCAAGCTTTTGTAGAAGTCCTTCTTGTTCATGCCTTAAGACATCCTACGCATTCACAAATATGACCATGGAGGTTAATGAGCAAAGATATACTTAGGCATAGGCATATACTTAGGACTTAAGCATAAGACACAGAGATTGGTAGGCAAGGGGTTGCTTTCCAAGAGCAGAATCAAGGGAAGCGTAGGCCTCATAATGCCTCTAGGTGGGGGTCCAGATTTGCTGTGAAAAAGTGACTTCCACTCTTCCCACATGGAACTTTTTATTGAAGTTTTTCTGCCCTGTTCCACATTGAAACACATGTTGGTGATGGGGGTGGAGGCAGCTTATATTTTTTTGTCATAGTTTTGTGGTCTGGGAAGACTTGATCCATGAATACCTGATGGGTAAGACTAAACATCACTCAGGGATTCCAGACATTGAGGAGGAGGATGATAAGAAGAATTCAGTCCTTTGTGTTGATTTCTTCAGGAGAAGGTATAATCATGTATGAGAAGAAAAGAAGCAAGTATGTAGCAAATATATACTTGATGATCAAAAGAATGTGCTATAGCAGGTTTTGAATAATCAGCGATATCTATGTTCTCAGTTTCCTGGGTGCAAGCATGACATAGTTTTCAAAGCTCAGTGAATTTATTCTATTTTTGTTTTTTAATGGAAACATTATTATTTATTTATTTTCCTCCAGTTTATTGAGGTGTAACAGATGAATAAAATTGTATATACTTAATGTGTACAACATAATGGTTTGACACACGTACATATTGTGAAATGATTGTCACATATACCTTCACTACTTGACATAGTTATCTTTGTGTGTGTGTGTGTGTGTGTGTTTGTGTGTGCTGAGGACACTTCAGATCTATTCTCTTAGCAAATTCTAAGTATATAGTACAGTGTTCTTAACTAGATGGGGTGAGGTAATCTGTACTTGCCCACTGAAATATGGGCAGAAGTGATGAAGATCACCTCTGGGCCCAGTTAATTAGAAACAAGATTTTCTTCTCTCTACCCAAACTCTCCAGGTGAACATAGCGTTGCAGTATGGGGAGAGAGACTCTGGAAGATGATGGAACTACAGAGGTCAGAGATCCTGAGTCCACAAGTGACTGGGTGGAAGAGAAAGCCTTGATAATTTATATTCACTATGATAGATGCATAAAGTAAACTTCTGTTTCCTAAGCCACTGAAATCATGGGCTTTTAATTGAATTATTTATGTTACTGTAAGTAATATATAAAACATTATATATTATTTTTAGTGTTTTATCTTTCTCATAGGGCAATGATTACTTATAATTGGTACAAGGACTTTAATAAGAGGACTTAATATATCCCAAAGGCCAGGCAGGCCACTGGATTCCAGGAAAGTGGGTGTAGCAAGAGTAGGGATGGGTGCAGAACATAGAACATTATAGAGAACAGATAGAAGAGAGGGGAGAGAGTTGAGAAAATTATGTAGGCAATTGGCAAAAAAATAATTGATGAAAGTAGTTGATCTAAACACCCAATAATGACAGTTTTCTAAATCAGAAATATGAAGGTACAGCAATGTCCCTGAATCAATTTCTATCTGAACTAGAAATATTTTTTTTCAGGAATTATGGAGGTCATATTTCTGCTATGTCCAAGGAAAATGAAGGTAAGGAAAGTAAGAAGGAACCATAAAGAGAAACCACCTTATCAGCACAAGTTGACATCAACACCTAGGCTATGGACCTGAAGTTTTTCAAACTATGCATAAAAGTTCTTCACACAAAAATAGTACCAACTCTCTAAATGGCTATCCCAGTGTGGGGGGCCATTTTGCAAAGTTGCAGAGGAGGACAGAAACTGAAGCAAGATAAGGCACTGAGACAAGAAGAGGACACGACTCCTCATTTACCCCTTACTTAGTTGGCTTCAGCTAGTCAGTAGGCAGAATTTGAGGCCCTTGGGCTGTGAGTGTGAGTGGAGAGTTGTAGTATCCAACATCTCTACCAGAAGATTGAAAATTGGAATTGGGATATGTGAAGAGAAGAGTCACATGGGACAGAGCTATTAAAAAAATGAACACTAATATATAAACAGCCAGAAATAGTCATATTTACAGTTTGCTTTCTTCAGTGTCAGGATGTTTTTTCTATAAACCTGCACACATGCATACATTATTGAAAAGATAATTTTGTTTGTATTGTTTAGTATCTGCTTTTGTAATAATATAACCTGAACATTTCCCAATAAAACATCATTCTCCTGCAACAATCTTTTTAATGGTTGCAGTATAATCCTAACACGTAGACATCTCGTTAGTTATTATACCCCTTATCTACTGATATACATTTAAGTGTTATCAATTTTTTGATATTGGATACAATGCTGAAACAAATACCTTCATATATAAAATATTTGTATACATGTATGAATATTTCCTTAAAAAAATTTATAGAATAAAATGATGTTCAAGAGTAAGGCAGAACTTTAAACCTTTTGATTCTTTCCTGCCAAACTCTCATTTAAGATGTTTAAACTATATTAATAAAATATGGGTATTATAGAGCCCATTTCCTCATTAAGAATCTGCCTATTTAGACTTGGCTGGTATGGATCAGTGGATTGAGCACCAGTCTGCAAACCAAAGGGTCACCAGTTTGATTCCCAGTTAGGGCACATGCCTGGGTTGTGGGCCAGGTCTCCAGTGAGGGGCACTCAAGAGCAACCACACATTGATGTTTCTCTCCCTCCCTTTCTCCCTCCCTTCTCCTCTCCTAAAAAAATAAATAAAATCTTAAAAAGAATCTGCCTATATAATTGTTTTTTAAAAATATTTTATTTATTTATTTTTAGAGAGAAGAAGGGAGGGACAAAGAGAGGCAGAGAAGCATCAATGTGTGGTTGCCTCTTGTGTACCCCCTACTGGAACCTGGCCTGCACCCAGGCATGTGCCCTCACTGGGAATTGTACCAGTGGCCCTTTGGTTTGCAGGCCAGCGCTCAATCCACGGAGCCACACCAGCCAGGGCTGCCTATTTAATCGTGAGTGGCCTGGAGTTATCTTTAGACACTTTTACAATTGAAACGAACAGTAATATGAAGCCACTTCAAATGTACATACTGTACAGACTCAAGACAGGTCATTCCCTTCTACCCGTTTGACAACTACTCATCACCTTGTATGACTTGGACAGTTCCTGTCTTATAGTTTCCAAATATATCTGAGTTTTTTCCAACTCTACTTGGAATGCTTGTGCATCACTCAGACATGACCTGTTACCTCTCTCACACCTGCTTGGTGTTATGGATCATGAATCTTTTCAAGAAATGGGATTCACTTCAAAATAATGACTGTAGCTATTCTGAAACTTTATATTGGCTTCATTGATTTTGAAAAAAGCTCCCTAAAATCCAAGGCCCACTTAGCAAAGACCTGCAAACCTGCTGATCGCTCTTGAAATCAAAAGTGAGCTGTGCTCTGGCCAGTGTGGTTCAGTGGCTTGGTCATCATCCCACAAACCGAAAGGTCATGGGTTTGATTACTGCTCCAGGCACAGGCCTATATTGCGGGTTGGGTCCCTGGTTTAGGCACATACAAAAGGAAACTAATCGATGTTTCTTTCTCATATTGATGTTTCTTCTAACCTTCCTCTCTATCTAAACATTCTCTCCCTTTTTCTCTCTCTAAAAGCAATGAAAAAAGTCTCTGGTGAGGATTAAAAAAGAAAAATCAGGCTTTAGCAGAAAATGATGGTCTAGAAATCTGAAGACCTGGGCTCGGGGTGTCATTCAGAAACATTTCTGGTTGATCTTAATCTTCTACTCCTTTCTGAATATAATTTTTTAATTTGGAAACAGGAACTCTGCTAGGTGTTATATATCTCTCATTTCACCCCTGACATGACATGGATCACAAGCTCCTCCTAGTAATCTCTTCTTCAAACTCACCTTTCTTAATGACTGGATAAGTAGGCTTCTGAGTTTCATTTTGGGAGAGACACTATTTGGACTGTTTGCAAGTTTGTGGGAGGACGCGAATACAGTGTCTCCCAGAGAAGACTCCAGATTCTCCGAGGGGAGGCACCGTGTATTCATTCTCCTCTCCCTCTTCCTGGTAGAGATAGTTTCTGGTCTCCATGTACATGATGGGTGGAGGCAAAAATAACGTTGTCTGAGCTAATGAGAGCAAGGCTTGTGTGGGAAATTAGGAGAGTGTGTGTCTGCTTAAATGAATGTGCTTCATTGTGAGTCTGTATGTGTTAGGTGTCTGGAAGGTGAAATGAGGGAAGAAAACCAGGATAATTAGGTTCAAGCATGTAGCAGTGATGTTTTTGGAGGTACGTGGGACCCTTGCAGACTAGGTCCTTAGGATCAGAGCTGGCTTGGGGCAGGCAGCATGGAACTCAGGCATGACTCAGCTCAGTGTCGGAGGAAAGTCTTGTTTCAGGTGTGGCCGCTCAGAGTGGCAAACTCTGAGTTTCATAACACAACAGCCATCGCCAGTCTTCGGATTCTCCATAAATGTAATCATGTGCATGCGCGCGCATGCACACACACACACACACACACACACACACACACACTCATGGAAGCACACAGTACCAGGACAAATAAATGATGTCTATAGCAACTCTTCTCTGATTACGGATCCTCCTCATAGGATAGGAAGGGGTAGATTTAGCCAATGAAACTAGCAGCCAAGAGTGGGATTAAAGCGATTTAATGAAGGCAGAGCAGGAAACAGGCATTGTTTTCCAGATCAAATTTTCAGATGAGCCTTGAGCAACTTAGGATGAGCAAAGCCACTTAGGCCTTCTGCATAACTCAAAGGCTCAGAGGACTTTTCAGGGCGTTCAACAAAAACCTCAGAGAACACATTTTTAGGATGTAAATAAGAGAGAGATTCTGATGATGGAGAGAACATCCTGATTACAAGATAAGACAGAGAAGCAGAAGGGAAGACGGTGTTCAGCATTCGGTGGCTCTTCAAGGGCATGGCTGTAGACCACATTACTTCTGCTTGGTCTTCTGCTGGGATAGGTCTGGAATGACCACTGGAGGAAGTGGCTCAGGGATCATAGGCCTGTCATGCTGAGGGACCTGAGGGTGGACTGGCTCTGGAACCTTGGTGTGGCCAGGCTGAGGAACCTTGGTGTGGCCAGGCTGTGGATCCTTGGTGCGGCCAGGCTGTGGATCCTTGGTGTGGCCAGGCTGTGGATCCTTGGTGTGGCCCGGCTGAGGAACCTTGGTGTGGCCAGGATCCTTGGTTTGGCATGGCTCCTTAGTTATGGGAACAAATGTTTCTTGAGGTGGGGGCAGCTGGGGCTGTTTCACCTGCTGCTGCTCAAGCTGGGGAGGCAGGGTGTGCTGTTGCTTCTGCTGGTAGGAACTCATGCTTCAAAGGAGACTGGACCTAGAGACAGAACAGTTGACCCAGTAGTTTGGTGAAACGAAGAGGAAAACAAACTTAAAAATAAACTTACCTCATTTCAAGTCCCATACAGATAGGACTGCCTCTCTTCTTTTTCGGTTTCCATGGAATTTAAGATTCATGGAAACTGCTGTGATTCCTGTGCACATTCAAGAAAAGGAGTGAAAGGTCCTCTTTCTGCTCCACGTGAGTGGCGCCCTGATCTATCCTTCTTTTGTTCCTGGTGATTCTGAAAGCCTACATCGGCAACGCAACACAGTGCCGGCTCCCAGATTTTTAATAATTTGGGAAGATGATAAAGTCAAATGTCTCAAGTCTACCCTCTCAAGTCCACCACATGGCTCTCACAGGAAAGCTGTACGTCAATCTGCCCCGAGCCCATGTGCCTACCTCTCATGCTCTGCTCACATCGTCCTCTGTGTGCATGCTTTCCGGAGGGCTGTCCTTCCTGTTGCTCCTCCCACACACGTTCGCCCACTACGGTTCTCCTCCCAGACACTCTCTGCCAGGTCCAAGTCACCCTCCTCCTTGGACACAGCTCAGTACGTGCCTTGTCCTTTCCCTTAATCATTTTCCATGAAGTATGCTTGCAAATTACCCCCACATTTCAAGATCTCTGATGGATGACAGGTTCACAGGGTGAAGAAAACTATCTTTCGGACACACAGTTGCCAGTGCAGGACCTCAGTATTTCAAATTCTCAGTAATGATTAGAAGAAGTAATAGAAGTCCCTAAGTGTACTCTGGACTTTTGTAGTCCCTCTCCTGTAACTGAGCAAATCACGACAGAAATCATCCTCCATAGTTACAATCTGAGTGGTAAGTCAAAAAGATCAGTAATGTCACCTTTAACACAAATCACCATTGCATTTAATGTAAGTATATGAGTAGCATGACAGAGACACTCCAAACAAATAAAATAGAATTAGACAAGAATTAAGAAATGACAAGTAAAGAGGCTCACCTGGTGCAGAGGAAAGTTCAAGGTGTCTGGCCTTCAGGTCTTGTGAGGAGTCCCTGGCAAGCTAGCTTTTTATACGGAATACGGGCCTTGCCTTAAGGAAGTGGGAATCTTTCTGGGCCACTCCATCTTTATTCTAGCTTTTGTAATGAAAATCTCTGGCTTAACATTTTTTGGCACTTACTCTTTGACCAAGATGTCACCTGGGCTTGGCCCCACTGTCCATCCTTTGTGGTTAGTTTTCAATGGACGACAGGATTCCTGCGAGGTGACGAGTCAAATCGGGAGGAAGGTCTGGACTCTGAAACCAGAAACAAGTGTGTTTCCTGGACAGAACCCTAGTCTTTAGCTCAGATTAATTCTATTGAGCATGTTAGTTTCTAAGTGGATGTGGAGATGAATCACAGGCATTACTGGTTCCTCTGGGAGGCCTTGAAGAACAGTAAGTGAATCACCTACCTTCATTTAAGTGACTCTTCAGTAAGTGCCGATAAGTGAACCGTATGATGTTCCATTTTTTACAGATCAGGCCTGGGAGAGGAAAGGGGAGGCTTTAATGCCTGCTTTGGAAATGAATTGTCTTCACTCTGGTGAGAGCCTTAAGGTGCCACGTAGACCAAAGGTAGTGTGGAGATGTCACTGGGGATGAAGAGTCAGGATTCCCTGCGTCCGTTCAGCGTTGTGCAGAGTCCTGAAGACACTGCTTCTCATGGTTTGTTTTTACCCAGCCCTTTCATTCCTTTTTGTTTGGACAAGCATACTCAGCATCAGGGTGTTAAGGCTCTTTTTACCCTTCGAAGACGCTTGGTTAGTTCACCAATGTATGTGCACTAAGGAAACTAACTCCCAATACGGAGTGTGAATCACATTGCTTCTGATAGAGAGTGCCACTTGCAGAGGTGCCTTGATCCCTCCTGGCCGCTTTCCTGGTGTCAAGAAGCTGCTACTTTCCCATCTCAGTGACCTGGGCCTTGCTTGATTCTTGAATGTGGGTGATGCTGGGTACCTTGAAACATTCTTCAGATTTCCTGGGTCTGGCTCTTGTGTCATGATGCATGGACTGTTCCCACATATTTTCTTGGAATCTATTTTCTTGGCCCTAGGTTCCAGCATGATCCGTCTGTGTGAATTTTTAAGTCATTTTTTGGCAGTGTAGATTTGAACTGTTAATGCTTGGCAGACACACTTCACCAATGGGGTACGTGAGCTGATAGGTAATGCTTCCCTCTTTCATCCCCAGGGAAAACCTTTCTGAGTTGCAATTTTGTTCATATTTAATATGCACAATTAGATGAGTTTGATGCCACCACAACAATCAGAGAAACAGACATATCAAAATCTCCCAGAATTTCTGTGTGTGTGTTGAGAACTTAACATGAAATCTATCCCCTTACATTTAAGCACATCACATCATATTTTTAAACTATAAACATTATGTTGTAGAGCTGATCTCTAGAACTCATTCATTTAATAAAACTGAAACTTTATACCCACTGAGTAATAACTCCCTACCTTTCTTCACCCATTAAAATCACTACTGTATCCTCTGCTTTTATGAGTTTGATTGTTTTATATACCTTTATAATTGAAATATTACAATATTTGTCCTTCTGTGATTAGCTTATTTTGCTCAGAATAATATTCTCTAGATTCACCCATGTTGTTGCAAGTGGCAGGATTTCTTTTTTTTAAAGACCAAATAGTATTCCATTGTGTATATATCATATTTTCTTTATTCATACATCTGCTGATGGAAAATTGTGTTGTTTCCACATCATGGCTATTGTGAATAGTGCTACAATAAATATGGGCATGCAGGTATTTCTTAGAGATGCTAACCTCAATTCTTTTGAATATATACCCAGAAATGGGAATGCTGGATCTTATTGTAGTTCTATTTTAATTTTGAGGAATCTTCATACTTTTTTTACAGTTACTGCACCATTTTACATTCTCATCAACAGTGTACAAGGCCTCCAATTTCTCCATAACCTTATCTATGCTTACCTTTTTTTTTTTTTTTTTACATATTTGCCATATGGTACCACAAAAGACCCAGGTTAGTCAAAAACATCTTGATAAATATAAACAAATCTAGAAGTATCATATCCTGATTTCAAATTGTATTACAAAGCTATAATAATTAAAACAGTGTGGTACTGACATAAAGACAGACATGTAGGTCAATGGAACAGAATAAAGAACCCATAAATAAATCCATACATACACAGTCAACTAATCTTTGACAAAGGTGATAAGAACACATAATTTGGGGAAAGAATAGTCTCTTTAACAGATGGTGTTGATAAAACTGGATATCCATATGCAAAAATAAATAAATAAATAAGTAAACAAAAAGAAATTGAACTTCTACCATCCAGCATATAAAAATAAGCTCAAAATGAATTAAAGACTTAAGACCTGAAAATGTAAAAATCTTTTAAAAATATAGAGGGAAATCTTTGTAGTATTGGTCTGACAATGACTTTGTAGATATGAAACCAAAAGCTCAGGCAACTGAAAGCAACAGTAGTCAAGTGCAACTACACCAAACTAAAATACTTCTGCGTAAAAAAGAAAACAATCAGCAGATTGAAAAGGCAGCCTACAAAATAGTAGAACATATTTGCATTTTTATAAGGGGTTAATTTTCAAAATAAGTAAGAAATCTTATAAGGGGTTAATTTCCAAAATATATAAGAAACTCCTATAATTCATTGGGGGAAAAAAGAAAGAAGAGATATAATGTGATTGGAAAAAAAAGAGCAAAGGGCTTTGATAGGCATTTCTCCAAGTTAGAATTACAAATGGCCGCTAGGTATATAAAAAGATGCTCAACATGACTATGAGGGAAATGCAAAACAAAACAATTATCTGGGGAAGGCCCTTGGTACTTGATTACTTTGTAACATTTTCTTTGTAATATACAAAAAAGAGGTTTCCTTTTGCTTAGTTTCACTCTTCCTTTATCCCATATTTCTCCTCCTTAGGACCATATTTCCAAAGAAATTAGTCCCACATAACGCTCTGTTTTGGGACAATCCAGGGCAGCACATGCCATGAAACACATGCTCTATATGAGATACAGAAAAAGAAACACAATTGTCCAGTGATGAAAATGAGTGCATAGGCCACGGTCAGAAAAATCATGGGATGGAACAGTGTAGGAAACTTGGAATTGACTAAGGACTCCCTTTGGAAGCTCTGGAAGTAGGCTGTCCAATAGAGTAGCCACTAGCCATATGTGCTTATTTAAATTTAAATGTAGGAGCCTCAGACTTCTAAACCCATGTAAACTATGAGGCAATAAATATATGTTGTTTTAAGACACCAAGTTTGTTTTGATTTATTGTACAATAAAAAACTAAACAGTATTTATTGCTAATGGTAAAATGTAAACTTTTAAGCAAAAATTGTAATTTCGTGTTCAAAGGATGAAGTTTAGAACATTCCCTTCAAATCCACAGCATTATCTAATGAAGATATAGACTACTCAACATCTCGGCAAATATCAAATAAGCTCTCACTGTTGGGAACCGTCCTGCCTGGTTTCAGGGACTGTAGCCTCGCTAACAGGTGAGAGGGCCCCAAGGATGGAGCTGAGCAAGGAGGCCTTGGAAAAATAGGCCTCTGAGGAGACAAAACCTGTCCTCCTGGCAGGGGCACAGCCCCTGTTTCCCTCACATCACCCTGCTTGGCCCTGGAGGATGGCTGGTTAGTCAATGATAGGTAAGACCCCTCGAAGGCAGGGGCAACCTAAGACAGGCACAATTGCATGGGGGCCATCAGGGAAGAACTTGAGGGACACGGAGAAGGGGCATAAGACCCTCACCCCTCAGCTTTGTCATGGCCGGAGTCCTCATTCTATCTGAAAGAAGTCTGTTTATCTCTTGGCTGCTCTGCTCGCCACCTGACTGGGTCAGTGAAACAATACTAAAGGCAGGTACAGCCCTAAACTGGACCAGACAGCTCCCAGGGACAATTAGGCCTGAAAAAATGCATTAAACCCTATGAAATTTACTTTGCTAAGAATGCCCTCGAGTTAATGAGTACTGGTGTTTGGGGTCTGAGCATAGAATGTGATCAGTTTCCCAGGTTTCAGGGCCAAATGGGTGCCACCCTGTCTACCAGACCCTGACCTGAGGCAAATCTCTGTGTCCCTTTAATCATAGCCTTTGACATTGATTGATGAGCTTTTCATGAATGCTATATACCCCTGCACATATTGTTCTCAATAAAAGCCACTTCAAGAGAAGGCCTCAGGGCATTCTCCACTAGACGGAATCACCACCCCCTCTTCCCTGGCAGACCGAGAAGTGTCTGGAATAACTTATTTTATTTTCCTCCATCCGCGGTGACCTGGGGTTGGGGGAGGGGTGCTCTGCTCAAGACGTGGTAACCTCGCATCATCTCACCACTTGGCAGGCTCTTGGTTTTGCAGAGGTGTGAGGGTGGCAGGGGTATGTGCAGGGTTGTTGAACATACAGCATAAAAGGGACAGAAGGCAAAGAGGGACAGGAGAAGCAACATAGTGGAGAAGCAAGCACATTACTTAATGCAGGGAGATATGGGAAGCTGGCTGGGAAAGTGGTTGGCATAGACCCCCCCCAAAAGACTGTTCTGAGTCAGCAATAGGAGGAAACGGCCTACAGCCCAGTGGGAACGCTGTTATTGAACAGTTCTCATCTAAACCAGATACTATCATCTTCTGTTTTCTTCAGAAAACAGAGACTCACAGTGCTGCAGAGACAGAGAAACCAAGGTCTCTCTACCCATAAAGAGACCCAAATATGTATTTCTTTATCTGCACAGGTGACATCTGCATCCAAGGTGCAAACATGCAGTTTACTAGATGTGTGTAGTCTGTACCTCAAATTCTTCACACAGGAGTAGTAGCCTACTCTCTACTGTTGGTTGGGTGAATGGCATTCTATCAAAACTTACAGGAGAGGAAAGGAGCTGAGGGAAGAAGAGAACCTCAGACAGGAAACAGAACTCCACCTCTGCCAGGTAACAGGTTCAAAGGCAGTGGGCAAGGTCTTTGGTTGTGAGTGGGGTAGAAGGAGTGGTGTTCTGCGGGACTTTTGACAAAAAGTTTTAGAGTTGAATTGAGATTTATATAGGATATCATTCTTTTTAAAAAAACTACTGTGTCCATCTTCCCCCTTTGGGGCTGTTGGCCCGGAAACAGCTGCAGGACTTCAGGAAGTTTCTGGAAAAAATATTTTTCTCACTCGTCAACTTCTTGGACTGCTTTAATTTTTTTAAATATGTAAAAGAAGTGTTATAAATAAAAGAATTTTCAATGTATAGTATAGAACATGTTTAAAACATAGGGATGTTCAAAGAATAAAATAAACAATACCTTTTACTCCACAACCAAATATAGCCACTCTTTATGTTTTGCTGTATTTACTGTCAGATTTTAAAAGATTTATGCATGTATACATACATTTTAACAAAGAAATAATTATGTGACTATGTATTACATAGTATAATATTTTACATGATCTTGATATTGTCTGAACACTTTCTCATATGACTATTATTTTATGATTTCAGTATGTTCCATGACAAAGATACACAATAACTTGTTCAATTAGTTTTCTCTTTTGGGGAGTTTATTTTGTTTTCCTCTCATTTTTTTTTCTATAATGTTAAAGTGATTCTCCTTATAAATAAATATTTGTGTACATGAATGAATATCTCCCAGTGGAATAGAGAGGATACGCAAATGTTTAAGGATTTCAATTCATTTTGCTTAACTCCCCCTAAGATGGTTCCTTGACTTTGCACTCTTCCAGCTGTGTGTCACCAGTCAGTGTCCCCAGCTGTGGTCAACCTCTTTAAAGGTGGCTGCTCCTGTAGATAGATATTGGTGACATTTTCCGTCATGTCAATGTGTAATAATTTGAAATCACCTGAATGTGTGTAAACCACGCAGGCTCATGTGACATTATTCTCTTCGTCACTCTTCAGATGAGCCCTGAGCAGATGAGCCTTTGAGCTTGAAGCAGGGACCATTTACATCAACTTGCAAAGCTTTGTTGAACAATTTTTTTCTTATATTCTCCAAACTTCCTGGAATTCTTCCACCTATCCGAGTGCTTGTGCATCATGCAGGTACTAACTGATGACCTCTGGATATCAGTTAGTTGATTTGGAACAGAATGAGCTGTGATAGATGCTCTTTAAGCCTTTCATTCTAGCATTTTATATCTTGATGACCTGCTCTCTCTTAACTTAATGCTGACTTTTTGTCTTACCTGTATTAACCTCTCTTCCTCTGAAACCTCTATAAACTGTTTTCTATGATGCATTTGATTTTGTGTTCTACTCTGATACGTACCTTGTGTGTTGGGGGGAGGGTAGAGAGAGAAAGAGAGAGGAGCAGAATGAGGGGGGGAGAGAAAGAGAGAGAGAGAGTAAGAGAGAGAGAGTGAGTGTGCTTTTTCTTGTTAATGTAAGTTTATATGAGAAAGGGGGTGAAGATCACCCTTCTTAGGCTTCTCCTGGGGAGACACTGTTGAGTCTAGTCTCCTGCAGCATTGAGGTCTTCTTATTGGGCATTCAGTGAAAGATAAACACTGAATAAGGTGATTAAGTCAGCATGTGCTTGTGTCCGTTGTGTGATTTTGGGGGTGTGTACATGTGTATGTAGGAGTCTACCTGTGTGTGTTTCTCTGTAGTGAGTGTGTGGGTAGAGAAGTTTATGGATTTGTGTGTATGTGTGTATGTTTGTGTCTGAATGTGAGTGTTTAAGTGCTTGGTTTCTATGTGTTGGAGCATCAGTAAGGGAAGATGAGTGAAGAACAGATAATCATGTTGGAATGCGTACAAGCATTCCATTCAAACTATTTCTTTGAAAACAAATAAACTGAACAGAATAAGGGTGATTTGGAGAAAAGGACTCAGAGTGAGAGAGACCTTGAAGCAGGGACCATTAACATTTAGATATGATTTACTCAGGGGCAAGAAGAAAGTCCTGCTCTGGCTGAGGCTGCCCAGAGTAAGAGGCTCTGGGTGGCCTTGACTGCTCTCCCATTGGCAGCCCAGGCGCATCCTGTGAGTACAACAGTCACACAGACATATCCACACATTTTCAGTGCCTGGGTCAGGCACTTCCTGACAATACCCCTCATAAACAACCCTGCTGTGTGCAGTACCTATTTCACATTGAGAGAATGGCAAAGAAAGCTGAGTCAGCCAATGACACACACAACAAGTTATGGAGTTAAAAATGATTTAATGGGGGGCAGAGCAGGGAAGAGTCACTTGATTCCCCCCCACCCCCCACACATACCAATCACTCTGCAGATGAGCCCTGAGCAGCTAGAAGACTAGCCCACCCAGTGAGACTGTCATCCTTACTCAAGGGCTCAGGAGCCCTTCAGACTGAGTGTGAGGGACATCTTTTTAGATGGCACAAAGAGGGAGGGTTCATGACTCGGGGGTTATGACAACATGCTAATTGTAAGTGGAATAGATAAGCAGAATAAGGGAGGGGATTCAGCATTCAGTGGTTGGTTCTTCAACAGCATGGTTGTGGACCACATTACTTCTGCTTGGTCTGCTGAACTGGTGCTGGAATGACCGTTGAAGGACATGGCTCCGCAACCTTGGGGTGGCAGGGCTCCGGAAACTTGGTGTGACATGGCTCAGGAACCTTGGTGTGACATGGCTCAGGAACCTTGGTGTGACATGGCTCTGGAACCTTGGTGTGACATGGCTCTTGAACCTTGGTGTGGCAGGGCTCTGGAACCTTGGTGTGGCAGGGCTCTGGAACCTTGGTGTGACATGGCTCCGGAACCTTGGTGTGACATGGCTCCGGAACCTTGGTGTGACATGGCTCCGGGACCTTGGTGTGACATGGCTCCGGGACCTTGGTGTGACATGGCTCAGGAACCTTGGTGTGACATGGCTCTGGAACCTTGGTGTGACATGGCTCAGGAACCTTGGTGTGACATGGCTCAGGAACCTTGGGGTGGCACGGCTCCTTGGTTTGGGGGATACATGGTTCCTGGGGTGGAGGTTGGCAGGGTTGTTTCACCTGCTGCTGCTGAAGCTGGGGGGGTGCAGTGCAGGGCTGCTTCTGCTGGTGGGAACTCATGCTTCAAAGGAGGCTGGACCTAGAAGCAGAACAGAGGTTTTAAACAGGGATTAACTAGGGAAAAAGCCACATTCAATGCCAAATAGATTTAACTTCAAGACCCTCTACAAGAGCAAGCCTCATCTCTACACAAGAATGAGCTCTGGCTGTCCTCTTACAGCAGAGACCAAAATATGCTTTGACAATTTGGGGGCCCTTTCCAGAGGAGGAGCTTAAAGGCTATTTGTTTGCTCCATTTCAGTGGGAGTCATTGCTCAGCTTCCTTTCTTTCCCAGACATGTCAGAGCCCTCATTGGCAAGTACCCATATTAGGTTTTATGGAAGGCAATGTCTTAAAACTGACTGCAGTCTACTAGCTCCTAGTACTACACAGTGCACCTGTGACTTATGGGATGACTCTATGAATCCAAGCTCCTGTAACCTCATTCTAGCCTTTGCTTACATGGTCCCCTCTGAGATGTTTTCCTTTCTATCTCTGCTGTCCAAATACTCCTCCATTGTAGCTCACATCATGTGCCATTGTTACTGTCAGTGTTTAACTAGATATTGATAAAGAGAAGAGAGGAAGAGGAAGTAGACATTGAGTTTAATAAACTGGGAAGTATAAGCCTGTTTGCTTGTTCAGCCAGGAGGAAGTCGCATCTTCACACTCCAGGGTATCACAACATTTCTCTACTAAGAGGATTAACACCTCTCCTTCCTCTGTTTGGTACCAGACTGTTGGAGCCCACAAGGGGAGGTGCTGGACTGTAGAGACCTCTAGTCTAACAAGAGGATGTGGACCCATCCAAAGCCACAAAAGTTTGGGAAGTTAATTTGTTTTTTTGAGAAAGCACCTTGTCTGTCCAAAATCCAAGCTGCTGGTTATAACCCCAGGGGAACAAAGAAGCTCACTCTCTTGCTTGGGACCTGAACTTATGTAGTACATGCACCTGTTCTTCCCATGGGCCATGCGGCCCTAGCAGCCATATGGTCTGTGGCAGGGCAACTCTGCATGCAGGCTCCAGGAGGGAGCCTGAAATGGTTTACAGCTGGAAGCACACACTAAGTTAGCTGGATGCTGGACTGGACTGTGCTTTAATATGGAGCATAAACTCTGGGCAGTGGCCTTCATCCTGGTCCTACTGAAGATAGGATAGGACTTTTCCTGTGGCAAGACAGCTGAAGATGGGACATTGGGAAGTCTGAAGAGGAACCACCTTAATTGTACATCATCTTCCTCATGTGGATCTCAGGAAATTCTTTTCCTTTAGATACCACAAGAGCCCTTCTTCTGGTAACAGAGTTTGAAGCCAATTTGTTCACTCCATTTCAGTGGGAGTCAATGCTCAGCTCCATTTTTCCCCCAGACATGTCACATCCCTCATTGACAAGTACTCACACTGGGTCTTTAGGAAGGCAATATCTTAGAAATGACTACAATCTATGCACTCATAGTATTACACAGCACACCTGTGACTTATAGGACGACTCTGTATGAATTCAAGCTCCTACAACCTCACGTTAGCCTTTGCTTACACAGTCCCCTCTGAACTGCTTTCCTTTCCACTCTGCTGTCCAAATACTCCTCCATCATAGCTCACATCATTGCCACCATTGAGAGCTCTTTGTAAGTGTGACTCCCCAGAACTGTCACAGCCCTTCCCTGCCCCTTCTCCTTACACCAACCACTATCTACTTTGTGTCTCATTATGTATGTACATGCATTATCTCCCTTGCTATGTTGTGAGTTTGTTAAGTAAGTTCCCATAGGTATGGGTATGATTTACCCAAAGTACTTAGCATAGTGTATTAAATACGGTAAAAGGTTTGTTAGAGGTCTATGATATGAGTTAAAGTTTTTGTAGTAAGTATCATAAACAGAGATGACAGTGTTTCTGAGAGTGTTCTGAGCCTGAGCTGTAGTTGTAGTTTTTAACTTACTGTGGGATCTTTCACAGATCTGTCCCCTTCACTGTCCCCTAGTTTCATAGTTGTCTACTGAGGTGGCTGACTTAACCACCTACTCAGTTCTCTTCAAACTCAAACTGTGCTTTAATTTAAAATAAAAATATTCCACTAGTCTCACTCTCTAATTAATATCCAATATCAGCCTTCTTACACGTCTTCCTCTGTCCAGTTTCTAACAATGAAAAAATAAACAAGAATTTCACATTGGTTCCAATCAGAGACTCACCTGGTACACAGAGAAGATCAGGTTTCGTGGTCGCTCTGGTCTGGTGTAAAGTCAATGGCCAGCTGGCTTTTTATAAGGTGACTGAGCCCTGCCTTAAGAAAATAAAATTGCCCCAGGCCCCTCTGTTTTCATTCCTCACCTGTCAAACATGATTCACCCCACTCCCCTCAATTATCAGTTGGCTCAGCTTTTGTGATGAAAACCACCCACTTGGTATTTTTTGGCACTGGCTGCCTGATGGTGATGTCATCTAGACCTAATTCCCACTGCCACCTTCCCCCTTAGACCCAAGTGTAGGGCCTGTGTTGGGGGAGGGGTGAGCCATAGGCTTCCTGGAGGGTTTTATGAATTAACCCTGGCGGGAAATTTGAGACCTTTTGTGATCTTGCCACCTTTCTGCTCTCTTATTTCATGAGATGTTTGTTCCTTATATTCTGTGGGATAGAATGCATTCAGGCACATGAACAAGTGGGGAAGGGAAGGGGAGCAGTGGAGCTGAGGTGGGTACAAGTTGCCTGCAGTGTAAAGGTGGATGTTAGAAATCATGAAAATGACTGCAAGTAGGCTCCTTGTCTTCAGGATTCAAGACCATTATATCCATTTCCCCCATCTTTCTCCTGACTCTGTTGAATTACACACATTCAGAATTACTTAATTATCGCCCCCAACCCCACCCATTCATGACTGGTTGCTAATCTGGGTAAACCTGCTTTGCTTTCACCAACCACACCTTCACCCCTCTCCTACTTAAGAGATTTTCAAGGGCTAATTCATCTTCTGGGATAACCTTTCCCTGCACTCCACCCAGCCTTCTGGCCATGGCCCTTTTCTCCGTCCTAATCCAACTATATACCACCCCACCTGAAAACCTGGAAGACTTTTCTTACTGCCTGCACCCCAAGCCTATCCATGGAGCCATAAGTGATGAATCTCTGTTACCTCTTGCCCACTCTGAACTTCCAGCCCCAACACCTGGAGCTCTTGCTGGCTGCACTGTGCCCCCACTCCTAGCTCTGTATCTCCTGAGTGCTTTCTGAGTCTCAGAGCTGGGCCTACTCAAAACAATGATGTTCCCAGGACAGTATTTTTTTCCTCATTAGTTAAATGAATATTAGAGTCCTTAGTGTATGCCAGTCATGGCTCATTCTAGGAGCTCTCTGTACAAAGACCACTTTCCCTTATTAGACTTGGAACTCCCTGAGGCAAGAGTCTCATTCAGAGCCACTACACAATGGGTCTTGGAGAGCCTCAGTCCACACTCTTCATGTGATAACTGGGGCATTTGTGGCCATGAGAAGTGAAATAATTCACCCAAGGTCAAACAACAAACCCCATAAGAAAAGGAATTGTACACAGATATCCTATGTTCTACTTTGCCTTAATCCCTCCTAATGCCTACTGAGGAAATTAAGCAGGAATGTGATTAAAAGTGGAAAGAGGAAGTCCAGACTCCCTGGCTTGGAGCTGGGTCCACCTAGTCCTGGGAAACCTCTGTGTGTGTGGCAGTGTGGAAAGACACATAGAGGCTTCGCTTTGGGTAAGCCCTTAATTTTTGCTAGGATGTGTCCTCTTAAGTAGTCATCAATCTGCTTAATGTTTGAGGTAGATCTGAGGATTAATAGAAGGTATTTATAGCTCTGCTAAAACTAGGAGGGGACACGAATTAGCAAAAGTGGAAATAAGGCACTGGTTCAGTTTGCCATCACTTAGTGGACCAGGGTCTGAGAGGGAGGAGAAGGCTAAGATGCCTCTTTTGAACAAGAGTTGCTTTCACTCTTGCGCAGGCCCCATAGTGACAGAGCCTGGGAACCCTGACAAGTAACGACACTGAGGATAGCCGAAGGTGAGCAGCCTCTGAGCACCTGTCCAGGTATACCTTCCTTCCATGATGGTCAGGTCCTGACCTTTTCTGGGAACACAAAAACAGGGGTTCCTTGGGTCCTCACGCCAGCAATTTCCTCTAATCAACATAACATAAAATGAAGTCACTGGTTCAGAGCTGCCCTCAAAACACAGTATGTTACTAGGTGTGGTCTTAGGAAAATTCAAATCACCATTAAAACCCAGGTGTGTGGATAGAATCTCCTCCTTTACCTACACTGCCACCAAAAACACACTTAAATATTTGTGGAGCACCTGCTGGCTCCACAGCTGAGTCACCTCTCATGAACTTGAGTCCTGGATTAGTCTCCCACTGTGTCCCCATAGCAAATGGTCCACATCCATCCTCACATGGTACCTGGTGTGCAGTTAAGTAGCTGCTTGGTGAGCTGGCGATTATAGGATGACTAACTGACTGAATGATTGAATGAATAAATTAAAGAATGACATTATTTGTAAAGAGAGGCCTAGAGTCTTCTGGGAAGTCCCTCATCTTTGAGAATGAACTGAGAAAAGAAGGGCTCAGCAAAAGACAGACAGTGCTTCCAGTACCTGCCCCACACACCTGCCTCACTGTCGGTCAGTTAAAAGACCCACCTCTCTCTGGGCTGCCACCAGTACTTGTGGCCACAGCTGGGTTCAAGCTTCTCACCTCAGTTTCGCTCCCCTCTGGGCTTAAGCCAGGCCCCTCTTTTCACCCAAACTCCCTGTCAGGAGCCCTGACACAAGGAACACCAGGAAGAACCTGCTGCTGTCCCTGGGAGAATTCTGAGCCCCAAGGAAACTGCTTTCTTTTCTTTTCTTTTTCTTTTTTTACTTAAAACAACAGAAATTTATTACCTCACAGTCGTGAATCTAGAAGCCTGAAATCAAGGTGTTAACAGGTAGGCTCTTTCTGGGCTGCTCTGAGGGAGAATGTGTTCCATGCCTCTCTCCTGGCTTTAGGTGGTTGCT